CACGTACACACACATAATTATATAGAGTGGACACATTTTAAAAGTGGCAAATAGAGTGGTTTCACATCTATCCCACGACCATACGGAACAGCCATGTTGGCTCTAGCTCCAGTCCAGTCACTTGCATCTATGGGTCACATGATACCAGCCATGTTGGTTCCACTGTTCACATGCCATGATCGTGTTCTACACAGATTCCTTCGACACATGACAAAGATATCTGAAACCACTCTAGGTAAATTTAACTAAATTTACACAATACATTTACAGTGGTGAAAAAAGGAGGACAACATGTTACGAGTTATGACTAACTGTCCACCAACGTAACCAGATCGTATACAGTCAGCGAGTGCGACAAAATGGTAATTGGCTCACCATCCGAGTTGAAATACATTTACACAATACATGCAGGTGGTACTTGTGTTGGCAAAAAAAAAAGGAAACGAATATCCGGATGGAGAGCCAAGGATTATTTAAAAAAGAAAAAAGGACCAAGGAACTACGAGTTACACTATGATGTTCACTAACACCGCCAGTGAGTGTGGTGCAATGTTATCATCACATGAGCTGATTGTTTAGTGACTGGTGGTGTTAGTGGACATTATAGTGTAACTTGTAGTTCCTTGAAACAAATATTGTGCACATTCAAGTAAGGCTGTGGACCTGTACGCCGACACCTCGTTGTGACCTTTACATGGGCTTCTATGCGGGATTCCATGCTGTGCATGCACATGCGGACGGGCGGTGTGTGCTCGCTTCCCGACTTGCATGGCCTCCGTAGCTCAGGTCCCTCCTTTTACTACTGTAAGTCGACAAATTTTTGGCCCATTCAAATGTCGGCCTCCCGGGGCTAAAACCCATTTCGGCCGCATTAAATTTTCGGCCTGTACTGCTGCCGCCTGTATACACCGTCACACTGAACCTTGAAAACAAATTTTCGGCCAAACATGACCAGGCCGAAAATAGCCGAAAATAAATATGCGCCGAATATCTGTTGACATACAGTATCCAGGATCTCTCTTCGTCTCTGTCTCTCCATTGAAAACTCAGCACATTTCTGCACGTTATTTCAGCCGTTGAGGGAGTATCTTTGAATTAAATTTTTACCCTATGCCGTTCCCATCTCTCTTGAAGTCTTCACGGTCATAGTGCAACATGCAAACAAAATGTTCATCTGCTACATAATATCAAGAGTACATAACCCCCAGAGTGTGCAACGCCTGATCCAGCTCTGCATAGGGTCTTGGTCGAGCGTAATCGGATCTTTGCGTCATAATACCGTACACATTTGAGGGGAACCTGGGGAGTCGCGGAGACTCTCGGATAAAAAATAACGGTGCCCTGCCTCGAGACCGGCCTTGCGCTGGTGTAGAGCGTACGCATGACATCAGAAGATCCGATTCCGCTTGACCACGACCCTATGCAGAGCTGGATCAGGCGTTGCACACTCTGGGGGGTTATGTACTCTTGATATTATTATGCTCTCACTCCAAATTCCTTTATCTCCTCTCAGGGTTTATAATTCTTTTCACATTTCATCTGATCAGGTGTGCATCTCCGTTTGACTACATATCCGTTAATAATCACATTTCGTCTGATATTTGTAGGAAACTCCTTCGATAGGAAGCAGCCATACGTACATACTCCATAGGCCAGTGGTGGAGAATACTTGAAATAAATAATCAAAAAAACAATCAAATAATCAAAATGAATGCTCTGTACGTGCGGTTCATTCACATATCCCCGGGCCCGGCGTCAGACCGTACCGCACTGATGTGCCAATACAATACGCATGTGTACTACCAATGACCTGTATTTCGGTCTTTGACCTGGGTATGCTACAAGAAACACATTCATCTTCTAGTAAAAATTAATAACACACAGTCACAACCAGGCATTTTGTATTTTGTGCTGTTCTGCGAACAGCCAACGCGTGGACTAGCTCCTTACCCGTAGCTGGTCAGCGGGAACGATGTCAACGTGGAAATCTGCCATGCTTTCTCTACTCTTCAGACTCGGCGCAAGGTAAGACCAATTGAGTGAACTCCTCCAATTAATTTCTTACTAATCTTGAGAAAGTTTTGGAGTAAAATGTACAAGACAATTATCCAAGGTGTGGGCTTCTACGGCTATTTCGTTGGGTTAATGCAGCCTCCACACAAGAATCTCAGCGAGAAGATGGCCAGAGAAAGACAACAGAACTCAAAACAACTGGAGAAAGGTTGACAGAAAATTATGGTTGTTCTCAAACTCAAAGAGAAATTGTTACGAAATCTGCTGAGCCCTGTCAAGCCTTCGCGATTCGCCACGTAAAACAAGGATGTGTGACTGTGAGTCTGTGACATCACTCATCAGCGCAGATCAGCATCGCCACCCATTTCTGCCGTTGTCTTTTCAAATGGGAGTACTAAAAAATGCACGGAGTACTAAAATATGCATTTTTTAGTACTCCTGCATGCTTCAAAGTGACACTGCCAGGAGTCGAGCTTTTACGACTCCCCCAGCCCTATCTATCAAAGCAGTGCAGTGTGCTGACAGTACAGCCTGTCTAGCATTCTGGTTACCCTAGCAAGTGTAGGAAGTACTAGGATGTGCATAGGCACAAAAAATAATAATAGTCTTGGCCGCTCGAAGTAACGTAACTCGTTACAGGTCCATATAACGTAATCTCTGGGACCACGCAAAAATTATGTTATATCGAGAGTTATGTTATGTAGAAAACTGTGTGTACAATACAAGATGTACCTCAAAACGAAGGGTATTACAAGGCGAGTTTAACCGTGCAAACATATACCTACACACTGTACCATCATCAATATCAGATACCGTCAATGCCACAGAATAGCCCTTGGCGGATTATGCCGGCATAATATTTGGCATAATCTTGGGATTTCGTCAAAAAATTATGCTCCAGCATAATTATACGGATTCCAACGTGTAAGGTCGGCATAATCTTTCGGTTTAGACAAAAATTATGCTTAGGGGCATAATACAGCTTTGTCAGAAAGCCTGCAGATGTTTTTGTTTTTAAATACCCAGTTACGACTCCTTGTCATAGCCCTTGGCGGATTATGCCGGCATAATATTTGGCATGCATAATCTTGGGATTTCGTCAAAAAATTATGCTCCGGCATAATAATTATACGGATTCCAACGTGTAAGGTCGGCATAATCTTTCGGTTTAGACAAAAAATATGCTTAGGGCATGGCCGTGTGTGTATGCGTGGTTTCTCAATCCTCTATGTACAGCGTGAATACATAGTGAAACGAGCATAATTCAGCATAATTAAGCATATTTGTTGGCATAATTGTGGCATAATCAAAAGCATAATTTGACGATTGGCCGAGCATAGTCCGCCAATGGCTACCACAGAATATATGCACAATAGGACCAAACTGGCTAGCTACGGCTAAAGCTTGATTGTACCGCGCACGTGAATCTACGTTGTATGGAGAGTGCGCACGTCGGGGACCGTGCCGTTGAGTGCGTTATGCCGAGGTTTACGTTATGTAGGACTAACCTGGCCTAAACTGCCTAGCTACAGCTACCGCTTGATCGTACCGTGCACGTGAATTTACGTTGTATCGAGAGTGCGCACGTCGGGGACCGCGTCGCAGCGTGTGTTATGTTGAGGATTATGTTGTGTAGAACAAAATTTGTATGGGAGTGATGCTGTTTCGGCGCGGGATTTGATTTTTTTACGTACATGTACATGTACTAGCGAGGTTTATGTACAAGTGAGAGTTGTTATATCGAGAGTAGACCTGTACTTCGTGCGGTGTGGACCAGGTGTGCACTGAGGGTCGACTCACATGGCTTTGCCAGTTGTGTGGATCAGGCGAGTGATCTGGCGCTACAATGTAGGCTTGATCTAGCTGTTTCTTGATTCAGATCTTGTCCGCTATAGTAGCTGTAACAGAACATCTGTGGGCGCACATCCAGTGCATTTGCAGACCTGCGTGCTTCTCGGCTTGCAACGGGTGTATTTTTTATTTATGGTACGTTGTACAACAATTCCATGGTGCTTGAAGACAGAGCCGGGAGTAGTAAAGCACTGTATATTTACTACTCCCTGCTTGGAGGTGTGAATTGTTTTTGCGAGTGTACCATGCATGAGTCGGTCCCATGGCCCAGCCCAGTCACTCCCGCCCGATGACAGTATCTCCATCCTACATGTGATGGAAAACTATACCCGAAAGGATGTGTATGGATCCATACAAAAACTGATTCAAAGTACAGTATTTGTAGTAGAATATCAAAAGTCAGCTTTGGCATGATCCAAGTCACAGTGTATACAAAATTTAATGTCAGTGAGCCATTGTCAGGACTCGGACCAGGCTGGCTGACATACCAGAGCACTTTCAAGCCCTATCGAGTGGCGCATCTGCGGCCAATATGCTATTATATCTCTGGGAAGGTGGGTACCAGTGCGGTAGGGCCCGGTCTCCAAGCTAGGGTGCTACCGCAGCTCGGTCGGTACCCGCCGTGAGGGTACACATATCTAGTGCTGCGCAATGAAATACTGTCGTGTCACTCAAACTATAGTACACGCCGGGCGTTACTCAGCCCCAGACCTGCGAACCCTGGGCTGCGAAATGGTGCAAGGCGCAAAACAGACAGTAACAGTTTAAAATAAAAATACAAATAGTTACTTGAGTGACGCGCGACTGGATTTCATTGAGTAGTACCGTGTACATGTGCGGTCAAACATCTTTAGGACACACACAAACATCTTTAGGACACACACAAACATCTTTAGGACACACACAAACATCTTTAGGACACACACAAACATCTTTAGGACACACACAAACATCTTTAGGACACACACAAACATCTTTAGGACACACACAAACATCTTTAGGACACACACAAACATCTTTAGGACACACACAAACGGACCGGTGGTATTTGTTTGGGAGTTCTTCTTATCCATGTTTCATTGCCCCGCTGGCAGCATTGATGTCAATTACTTGAACTAGGTCATAATCATACAAGCGAAGTCGTATGTATTAAAATAAATAAATAGAAAAGATAATACCCAGCCAGGCAATATGCGCAAACAGTGTGGAGAGCAGAGTGCAACGTCACCACGGGTCACTCGTGGTGCGTGACTGGCTTGTCCGGAGAGAATACCATAGAAATCTACTGCCACGCATAGTCAGCACTCTGGCTGAAACCCAGAGTTGGTACTCGCAAGGGTACCATGCTCTTGCTGAGACGTACATGTATACCTTACAACATGCATAGTGCAGCGAAGTCCTAGATGCGAATAAGAAAAGATGCATGACACCTAAGTAATAATAATATAATTCACGGTTCGCGTGAGTGAGACCCAGCTGAAGGCCGAGTTTCAGCATCCGTAGGAACGCCACCACACTCTATGGATCATAACACATACCGTAGGTACGGCTAAACAAACAATTATTCTTCGGCCTAGACAAAGTCATCTACATGCACAAAACAACGCACAGCACAGCACAGCACGGAATAAGTTGAAGACTACGGACGCAAGGGATACAACAAGCAACTAAGAAAACAGGTGAGCTGATCGCATGCAGTACTGCAATTGGCTGTGACATAAAAAGAAAAAGAAAAGAAGACGAGTCCGGTCGCGCACAAGCCTGCGATGGTGACACGCTCACACCAGTACACAGCCGCACTGCACACACAGAGGAAGCCAGCGTGCCCTCCATGACGGCATGGTGATGCTCTCACACCAGTACACAGCCGCACTGCACACACAGAGGAAGCCAGCATGCCCTCCATGACGACATGGTGATGCAATAGGACACCGGGCACGGAGAGCAAGCAGCAAGTGTACGGCTGATACGGTAGGTAGTGTGACGCGTCTTCTAACAAGTTACGGTGTGTGTGTGGGGGGGGGGGGGGGGGCTTTGAACGGAGCGTGTGTGTGTGTGGGGGGGGGGGGGGGAGGGTCTTTGAACGGAGCGTGTGTGTGTGGGGGGGGGGGGGTCTTTGAACGGAGCGTGTGTGTGCGTGTGTGTGTGTCTGGGGGGGGGGGGGGGGTCATTGAACGGAGCTTGTATGCATATCCAGGACTAGATACCAGCACTCCACAGCACCGCAAGGGGTAAGCTATGTTTGTGGTGCTAAAGTCTCAGGCCAGCGAGAAAACCTGAAAACCTGCACGCACCTGGGCGTAGTACTATAGCCAAGCCAGCGCACGGGCATGAGCAAACGCATGGGGAGCCGAATGGTGAACTCCAAACACACAAATACCCTACAATCAAGCCATGGCAAGTTATCTGACGTGCACAAACGTAGATGACGGCAAGACTCATACGGTGATAGTTGCCGACCGGCTAGGGACAGCAGATCATGGCAATGGCTATGGGGTGTTGGCGACCAGCGGCATCTTGTTACACACGCAGAGAGTTCCGTATTCGCTATTACAAGCACTGCAGTTCACAGCAATAGCTACTGATCGTCGGCCGTACTACTCACAAACTGCCCGTCGGCGGAATCTTGTCACACACGCAGAGACTTGCGTATAACATACAGACGCATGATGATCGGTATGCGGGCTTAGCCGTGACTCCGAGCCACAACAGTCACCAGCATCGCAAAGATACATCAGTGCATGCGGGCGAGACCAGCATCTTTCCTAGCAAGGAACATCTCCAGTGGTGATTGCACCATCACGATATGGACTCACTGACCTGTTCACAGTCATACCGACGTGCAGTATCTCCATGCTCCCACAGTGAGATGTCAACATGATGCAGAGGTGGTGGTGTTGTCAAGATGATTCAACGATGGTGGTGGAGGCATTAAGATAATGCAGCGGTGCTGGTGGTAACAAGACAACGATGGGACGGTGATCCCAAACACACACAATACCACGCACAGCTAGAATTCTGACACACAGCACTCGTGCAGTGCAGAACGCCATCGTCGCGAATGTTTTCTAACGAGAGTTGCGCGCCGCTCGGAGATTTCACTATGCAGCACTTGGGGATGAGCCGGACGCCTGGCGTCGAATTAGGTCAGCGTATACGCCGTTCTTGCGTGAGACCAGCCGTGCATGCGAGCCTTGCTCCACGATACGACCCTTGACAAGAACACCAATTGTGTCTGCAGGTGATACACGGGAACACATATTTACACAAATGAGTACACACACATGCGTATTAACACACACAAACACGGAGGCTTGTGCACACACACACACACACGCACCATGGGGACACACTGTTGCATCAGTATAGGCAGGTCATCTCAAACAAGACAGAGATCAATAAACACTACATTGAGAGAAACATGGACGCGTGTATCATACGGACATATCGCATAACTACCACCGTATTTCCCCGATTACAAGTCGCACTCGACTGTAAGTCGCATCCCCATTTTCAGGTTTGAGCAATATTGTTGCGATATATTCAATTCAGTAGTAAGTCATCCTCGATTGTAAGTCGCACCCCCTTTTTTACCCTGGATTATAGTGTAAAAAGGTGCGTCTTATAATCGGGGAAATACGGTACTTTAAGTATCACATGAGCCAGCAGCACCATGTCGGCAAACAGCACGTGGACAAACATGCCACTACTGACCTGCGTTGCGGATGGTACTGAGACGATGTGCAATCACAATGACGGTCCGACCTATGGTTCGACACATACACAAACACACACAGGAACACACATACTCAGACACAGACACACATACACATGCAGGTACACACACACACAGACACACACATAAACAGGCACACGCACACACAGAGATGCAGACACACACACGCACATACACACACACACACACACGAAAAACGTGCATACATGCGTATACATGCACACACAGACAGACAGACACACACACACATGTATATAGGGAGACGGACACACACACACACACACACACACGCAGAGGCACATACGCACACACATTCACATGTATACAGAGACAGAGAGACACACAGACACGCGCACACATAAGGTGCAATTTAGCCATCAAACGTCTACCCGTCGCCTCAACCTATATCCCGGTGAACAGGTCACAACATTGCCTTCGTTCCTAGAGCTTAGAAGTGTGACGTCAGGTCGTGGACAACTTCGTAGCAACTGGGTACAAGCAACCATTGCGTCCCCCAGTACAGTGGTGTTTTGCACAGAGACTTCACATTTTTACACCATGGCTGGTACAGATTAGGGTAGATACCTCACACAAAGTGCCCAGATACTGTAATTTCACAAATGTTCGGTGCACTTTTATTTTCGGTACTTTCGGTGCGTCTGTTTCATACTGTAGTACCTAAAATTTCAACACACCGAACAAACACTAACGCACATAATCCAATAGGGAACTGCTTCTCTGTACCGAAAATTTCTGTTCACTTAACCTAGCATGTTGCCCTCATACCGAAAATATTGAGCATCGAAAATTTCTGAAACTAGAGTATCCTTTTTATTGTCCTTTTGGACATGAGTCTGCTAGTACCCTGGGTGGGTTTTCACCGAGCACTACCGTGTATATCGGCTTTCCAGCAGCCATTCAATTATGGCAAATGGAGATATAGAATAGCGGAATCAAAGGTGTTAAAAGCTCCTGTGTTTCATGCGTTTGATAAAGCATTCTACCGAGGAGCTGGCTCCGCACGGGATCGGCTCCAAGAGATAGTCTGCTTCATAGGCAATGCGATGACTTACCTTCGCACAGCTTGTTCAGAGCTTCTTGGACAACATGCTCAGACTCCGCATCCAGTGCACTGTGCAAGTACACCCACCCACACACATGCGCGCACACGCGCGCGCGCACACACACACACGCGCACACACACACACACAAAAACCACACACATCACAATTAACCAGTCTGCAAAATGAGTGCCTCGCCTCTTGATGGCCCGAAATGTCTAAGCGTGTCTGCACTGATTCGCGATAATACGTTTAAGTATGATAATCTATGCGAAGACACAGCAATTTACCACTTCTGATATGTACATACAGATTCGAAACACATACACATACACACCTTCACGCATGTACGGACACACACACACACACACACACACACACGTACGGATGCACACAGACACACAGGCGCGCGCACACACACACACACACACAATACCTTGTTGCTTCGTCCAGCAGTAGCACTTTCGGGTTCTTCAACAGAGCCCGGGCAATCGCAATCCTGCGACAGAACACAACAAAACAATCAGAACAACCAGTGCAGAGATATATCACAGTCGAGAATTCAGCAGATTGTCTAAGGTGACACAGCAGTTGTTCTTTTGAATTGGGGACAGATGGCGGTTTTCCACGAGTTACGGCTTTTTAGTATACTGTGGCTTGGCTTTTGCCCTTTTTCATCTCCCAAACTACACTTCGGCCAGCACACGGCCATCCTGAATTGACAGACAGGGTTAATTGATACTTCCTCCGCGTCATTTTAAAATTGTCGCTCCCCAGAGCGATTTTTCGAATTTATTTTGTCCACTCGAAGGGCAAAGAAATCAGCTAGAAATTGAGGCAGAGCATTGTCGACGGACCAAGCTTTAGTTTGTGGCCTCCCGCTTCGCTGCACTTGAAGCTAAGGTCGACGTCTCCATCAGAGTTTGCGGCAGACCCTTCAGCACTCAACAATACGCTGAACAAGACGCGAGTTCAAATTCAGGTCAAGAAACTTTGTTTTCACGCGATCCATGCATCCAGGTGGCAGGCGATGAAGGCAAGCTAGCATTTTCAAGTACAGTGTAACAACCTTCCAGCGGGATAGGGTAAGCAGTTCCGCACCTTCTTTCCTTGGCAAGCGCTTCGCTGATTTTGTTGGCGTTTTCAGACCTGCTACCTTCGCAGCAACATGCGCCACAAGTAGCGCATTTTAGGAATTTGAGAACACTTTGTTCTTGGAATCGTCAACTTCAGCATTTCGTATTCAGGAGAGATACCAGGATTCTTATACCCGAGCTTGCAGTCTGATAAATGCCCACGCGAACGATGTGGGACGGCACGAACTCCAGAAAAACGATATGCGCTCTGTGGCGGGATAGTGCGCAGCGCGATGAATTTGTTTGGTGCAGAAGAGAGCTCCGACAAAGTCCGAGACCACCACGGCTTCAGTAACAAGCAGACATTGCGCAGCAAGGGTCGCACCAATATTCGAAAACAGCGATTCCGACAGTCTGACTAAGACGAGCCAAGTCACAAACATTGCGATATGCGAAGCGACAATTTTAATGACGCGGAGGAAGTAAATAGACCAAGATACGGAAGAGAATGTGCCTGTAAGTCCGCAAAGAACAAGCAAATTCTTTCAGAATTTTTGATGCTGACACCAGCATAGTGTAGAGAGGTGTTCACATCTGTTATGTGACTAAATTGGTGCAGAACACGAACATGTCATGTGGACAGTGGAAACAACATGGCTGACATCATGTGACACATAGATGTGCAGGGGTTGATAAAGTGGAGTTGGAATCAACATGGCCGACATCATGTGACACATCGATGTGCAGAGGTTAAGTGGAGTTGGAACCAACATGGCTACCGACATCACGCGACCCATAGATGCAGGGGTTGAGTGGAGTTGGAACCAACATGGCTGTCCTGTGTGGTCATGTGATAAATGTGAACCACTCTATTGCGAGGGGCACTAACAGAGTACTGTGGGACTGAACTAGAGTTCTATTTACGGTTGAAATCTTACCGCTGCCTCTGTCCACCGGATACGGTCATTCCACGCTCACCAAGTAGAGTGTCGTAACCCTGAGCAGAGCAGAGCAAAGGAATAGGAGTACAGCAATAGCTTGGACGGAGAGACTGTGTGTGTGTGTGTGTGTGTGTGTGTGTGTCTGTGTGTGTGTGTGTGCGAAACGGATGTGACGTGCAGCCAGGAACAACTGCCGTCATGAATGCGAGCATTGCGAAAGACGGTTCTCAAGGCCACAGGACTTGCAACGCCATGCCAAATACTGTTGACTTTGCGATTTCTCTCTCCTCTCTTCTCTCTTCTTGTCGTTGTCTCCCGCTTCTGGGAGCGGCGTGGCCCGATAGGGTAGCTGTACATAGTAGTAGTAGTAGTAGTAGTAGTAGTGTGTGTGTGTGTGTGTGTGTGTGTGTGTGTGTGTGTGTGTGTGTGTGTGTGTGTGTGTCCCATATGGTGCAGTGGTATGTGCAGCGATTTCCAATCGAGAGGTTGCGGGTTCGATTCCCGACGATTGTGGTCACACACGTCTTTCTTCTCTTTCTCAGACTCCTCCTGACTTTTCTTTCATCCTCCTGGGTGGTTACCAACAGCCAGTGCATGCCAAAGTATGTGGTGTGATGTGTGTGCGGAAAAAAATGAAAAAAGACCAAAAAGTAGGGATTCACTGGCCAGAAAAAGCCACTTCATAGCTGTGTGGTGTAGACCAGGCTGAATAGTGGCGGTCAATTCTTCAGCCTTGCAAGTTGTTGAATGGTGCAATCCCAGCACAAGCTGCTATGGCTTCTGCTGTAGCATCGCTATCATCGCCTTCGGCGATGGGCGTCCAATGGTCCAATGGTGTGTGTGTGTGTGTGTGTGTGTGTGTGTGTGTGTGTGTGTGTGTGTGTGTGTGTGAGAGAGAGAGAGAGACACACACAAATACATGTACACAGGCACACCCACACACGCATGCACATGCACGTACACACATACACACAAACACACACACACACACACATACACGCACATGGAAAAGTCAAGGAATCAAATGTGTAGCAGTCAGAGTTAAGAAAAACACAAATCGCTTACATTGGGAAAACTCCTGACAAACCCGTCGACATTCGCAGATTTCGCCGCACTGATCACCTGCAGCATTCGAACACAGTCACACAAACATGTAGTAGACACACACGAGCGGGCGCACACAAAAACACACACACACAACCGTTACACCCACACCCTCACATCCCCCCACACACATTTAAAAAAAAATGATCCGTATCTTGGGACCGTGCGCAAGAAAACTCCAAACAAAAAGCATATAACCGTGCTCGCCAGAACTCCAAGCTAAGCTGATAAAACCACTCACACAACTCTACAGTATGCATTCCAAAAATATATGACAACACCTAGTTTTAACTTGAGATTTTTTTGTTAAACGAAAAGAACACAAAGCACCCAGCCATGCATGCCCTCACCTCTTCATCACTTGCTCCGGGTCTTCCATAGCGTATGTTTTCCATGACCGACGTTGCAAAGAGGACCGGTTCCTGTGTGCAGACACGCACACACACGCACGCACACACACACGCATGCACGCACGCACACACACACACACACACACGGCAGCACAGTAAAGCACCGCCGGGTCGATGAAGGCAAGTAGGGTGCACGCACGGTTCCGCCAGCTAGGTACAGGTGCTCCCTCATTATAACGAGTCCGGTTAGTACAAAAAACCCGTTAGTAAATAGAAATCTGAAATCTCCTGGCGTAACGTGGTCTATCCAACTGTTTACAGGTCCGGTTACGGGTAGGACTAAAGGGACAAGCCCAACTTTTTTTGCAGTTTTCTGTCATAACAAAATAAACGTCACAGGCTGCTCTTCGCAGGTGTCCGCGTCGGAGCGGTCCGGGCGAGCGACCGCATCTCAGTGGGACACTTGTCCGTGGCCGTTGCACTGGAAATCTGGGGCACAGAACCTTGCCAGAGGCTACACACACCCGGGTACCTATACCGGGATAGACAAATCCTTGGTGTTGCTCCTTTCAATTTTGTTCTTGCTGAGAAAGAAACGTTGCTGCTTGGAAAGCTTTCTGTTCACTCCAGCGACTTTCCTCTAGTAACATTGCTCACTGATAATGATCATAGCTCGTGATGCCAATGGTGAAGAGAAGTTGGGTTTCTTGCCATTTGCAACTTCCTGCCTCTGAAAATATTATTATTATTATTACTTGCATGTACGCGTTGGAGTCAACCATGCAAGCATGATCCACAACTTCGCTTATGCTGAACATGATAAACAGGACTATGACAGGGGAAAAAATGAGCTAGAACGATGATAATAATAATTATGATACTTATATTATTATATACAATGTAGCTCATGGGTATTGAAGATATGTCATTTATGAATATGTCCATAATATGAATATTGCAGCCTGAGTGATAATGATAGTGCTATTTCCTGAGTTTGACTGTTTCAGGATCTGTGGGAATATCACAATGCACAGACCCTCATGCATAGATCTCGCCATGCTGGTCTGTCATGGGCAATGGCTCCCAGGCTCTGCAGAGCGTCTACTATTGAACAATCCAGCATTGGCTTGGCGCAGATCTCCCACCATAAAAACTACAGCCGCGAACCACGTAGTGGAAAGCTACAAAAGATGGCCAACCCATTTTCACATGTACAGACAATTTGCAAAAACGTTCCGAACATTCAGGGAGAAGACATTACTTGCATGACACATTGGCAGAACGAACAAGGCAGACTCGAACATTCCAAGATTCTGCAGCCGTTGCGTTTCAGGTGTTGGGTGGCAGCTCCGTTACTGAGGCCGTATAAGTCGTCGAGCTCGGCTAGCCGCCGCCAACTAGTCAGCGCAACCTCGGCCACGCGCTCGCATTAGCTCCATGCCCGCGTTGACGGAGCTCCGGGTGACCAACAAGCCGAACAGCTGCAAGTCGCGACTCCACAATGACACTGGCCGTCCGCGTGCTCTAACACTCCGCTCCACTCGTACTCCCTCTTTAGCCGTTTCGCTGCTCGTCAAGCCCTGCAGGTAACTTGATTTCTTGAAGGGTACAGACGTCTATGCCGTAGAAAGAGAGGTACCGACACAAGCCAGTTCCTCTTGACGGCCGACATGAGGCCCCGCACATTGAAAATTCCTGAATTTTTTCTGAAATTTCTGAAAATATAGCTTGAACAAATAAGAGCTCCAAGTATTTTAGTTTTAGATTTCGATGTGCCAGACCTATCGTTACGAGATGCAGAGATGAGGAGCAAGGGAGGCGTTGGATTAATGCCAATAATGGTATTTATGGCCCAGACAACGCCAGCGATTTTCACTTGTCAAGAGGACAGTCAAGTTGGAGCAGGCAGATGACAGATTATTTGAGCATTTATAGCGGAGTGGGTGGTTTGCTAAAGAGAATCGTCTCAGTACCTCATGGTTACTAGTATCTGACAAATGTCTCTTGTTGCTAGTCTGCATTAGAGCATAGCAGAATTGATCATGTCACAAGTAGTGTCAAGACTTGATGTCCTACGATTATACTCAGATCATGTTGTAACTTCACGGGAATATCCGTCCTGCCACTTTACGCTCTCCAAAAATTGCCTGCAGGAGTCACGTGCCTGTGCAAGGGACAATGCGTTTGCATTGCTTACGGATGCAAGCGGATGGAGTGTAGACCAGATGAGAAAAAGTGATCCGGATATTCAACTAGCTTGGACCGCCATTATAAATTTGCCTGATGCCTGGACTATCTGAACATTGCTCCAAACCAATCCACAGAAGCAATACCCACGCAGGAAGCCAAATGATAAACCCATTCATCAGCTATCGAACCTTTCATCAAAACATAATGCAGTGCATGCCTACTACTACTACTCAAACGAGATCAACGGATGCCACATGCCACACAGATACAACGTGGAGGCTCAGTATTTTCAAGAACCCAGTGCAGTCTAGACAACTAGAACAACGAGGCTTGCACCTAATGTCCCTCGATTTGCTTGCCGTATTTAGTTCCTTGCAATTCTCCCAGGGATATGTACCACAGTATGAGATATATGAGGGATTCCGGCAGCATGATTGATCAATCGGTGTGTGTGTGTGTGTGTGCGTGTGTGTGTGTGTGTGCGCGTGTGTGTGTGTGTTTATGGTAGTTTGAAGCAAGCCGTATCCGAGAACCGGTCACTGAGTCTGCAGTGTCGTCGTCGCGTGTATGTTGCCGTGGTGCTCTCTACCCTCCTGTACGGCGCGGAGACCTGGACACCGAAGGCTCCGGACCTACGACACCTCAACCCTTTCCACCATCAATGTGTCAGATCTATCGTTGGAGTGTCGCGACGGCAGCAATGGGAGACCCACGCAACGTCCTCAGCCCTTGCAAAGACCCTTGGAGTGCCTGAGGACATTGGTCACATCGCACGGGAATGGCGTTTGCGTTGGCTTGGACGCGTGGCACGGATGGAAGATCACCGGTTGCCGAAGTGTGTTCTCTTCGGTGAACTGCCTGCCCCGCGCCCCGCGCGTGATCCACGCAAGAGGTGGAGGGACGTCGTTATGCATGACTTTGCGTCGGTTGAGCCACCTGTACCAACATGTGGATGGTACGATGCAGCCCAGAACCATCCGGAGTGGCGTGCCATTGCCCGTCGACCACCCAAGGCACCCTCTGCTGCTGGCTACGGTTGCGCCTGCGGCCGCATGTTCCGTCGAAGCGGCGACCTGAAACGCCATCAGTCATTCTGTCGTGGACTGGAGAAATAACAATGCGCTATCATTGCTACGCAATGGGCAAGGTCAAGGTGTGTTTATGGTGGTACAGGACATGCTATGTACGCCTCTTTGGTCGCTCACACATTATCCATTGCCGGCATTGGTTACACGTTATTATCAATGTGTTATGACCTTCGCTGGTCTGCACACCCACCCACTCTACTCTCTACTCTACTCTCTAAAGTTGAGACTTTCGTTTGCCATTTCATCCGGTAGTTTGACTCTCTGAGAATATCCCTGCTACATGTACATGTATAATATAATTTATACTTTACAATTATCCTTGTACGTGTCTATCTTCTTGACACCATGACTTTCTTTGAAGGTCTTGTAGCTATGAACTGTTATTTGCTGCAGGTCATGTGTGTGGTGTGGTGTGTGTATGTGTGTGTGTGTGCATCCGTGAATGTCCCACGCTTGGCCCGTGGGTAAATATACAGTCATGTATATGTTATGTGCCACACCAATTTCGCTATCTGTATAATATTATGCAGCACAGTGGCAGGCATAGAGAGAGAGAGACGTGTTAACGTCTCTGATGTGAATTCTTCACTACTACATAATCTACATTGTACTTGTATGATCGAGCGTATGAGTATGTGTGTGTGTACTTGTATGATCGAGCGTACAAGTGTGTGTGTGTGTGTGCATTTGCAGATTTGGTGCTTCTCTTGCGACGGGCGTATACATGGTGTGTGTGGGTGCATCCGTGAATGCCCCACGTGTGGGTAAATATACAGTCATGTACGTGTTCTGTTCCATTCAATTTCACTAACTGTATATGCAGCACAGTGGCAGGCATATATATATATATATATATATAGAGAGAGAGAGAGAGAGAGGGAGAGAGAGAGAGAAAGAGAGAGAGAGAGAGAAAGAGAGATACGTTTTAACAAGAGTACATAACCCCCCAGAGTGTGCAACGCCTGATCCAGCTCTGCATAGGGTCTTGGTCGAGCGGAATCGGATCTTTGCGTCATAATACCGTACACATCTGAGGGGAACCCGGGGAGTCGCGGGTACTCTTGGATCAAAAACAATGGTGCCCTGCCTCGAGACCGGCCTTGCGCTGGTGTGAAGTGTACGCATGACATCAGAAGATCCGATTCCGCTCGACCAAGACCCTACACAGAGCTGGATCGGCGTTGCACACTCTGGGGGGTTATGTACTCTTGGTTTTAATAATGTGTCTGAGGTGAATTCTTCACTACTACATGTACTTTTATTATCGAGCGTACGAATGTGTGTGTGTGTGTGTGTGTGTGTGTGTGTGTGTGAATGTCCCACGCATAGCCACGTGCGCGGTGCCACACAATTTCATTATGTGTAGAACAGCGGCTGGTAGAGAGATAGAGACAGACAGACAGACACAGAAAGACAGAAACAGAGGGATGCGCATAAAGAGCGACAGACAGAGACACAGACTCAGAGAGAAAGAGACAGAGACAAACAGACAAAGCACAGACTGAGGAGAAAACAGACAGAGACAGACAATCAGACACAGAAAGACCGAGACAGAAACAGAGGGACGCACATAATGAATGACAAAAGGAGAGACAGACACAAAGACTCAGAGAACCAGAGACAGAGGGTCCTTAGGGAGAGACAGAGAGAAAAAAAACTAAGAAAGGGAGAGGCAGATCGAGAAGGAAGAAGACACCGAGACTGAGAGAGGGACAAAGAAAGACAGAAGAAGAGAAGCAAACGGAGAAACAGCGACATAAGTACAGGGCCAAGAAGACAGACAAACGGAAAAAGACAGACAAACATAGAGAGACAAGCAGAGACAGACCAAGACAGGGAGACAGCTGGAGAGTTACACAGACAAACACAGATAGGCAGACAGAAAGGCCGAGACGAAGATTCAGAGAAACACATAGAGAGAGAGAGAGAGAGAGAGAGAGAGAGAGAGAGAGAGAGAGAGAGAGAGAGAGACAGAGAGAGACAGAGACAGAGAGAGGGAGAGAGAGAAGAAGAGAAGAGAGAGAGAGAGAGAGAGAGAGAGAGAGAGAGAGAGAGAGAGAGAGAGACACGCGCACACACACAGAAACAGAGAGAGAAAACTGAGAAAGAGAGAGACAGAGAAAAGTGACCGAGTGAGGGACAAAGAGAGACACACAGAGAAAGACTGAAGAAGAGAAGCAGACAGAGAAACAGAGACAGACAGATGGAGACAGAGAAACAGAAAGGAAGACAGACAGACAGACAGATGGATGGACAGACAGACAGATAGGGACAGGCACACGGACAGAACGAGATAGGCAGACAGCTAGAGAATGACAAAGACAAGCATACAGAAAAACCAAAACACAAACAGAGACAGAGAGAGAGGGGCAGACAGATAGATAGAGAGATTAATAGAATAGAGAGACAGACAGACAGAGAAACATGTGGAGACACACAGATACGAGAGATTTCGTTCGTTGGATTTCTAATACTGAAGTAGTATAATACAAGTAGGTAGCAGCATAATGCACACAGATCTAGAGTGCTGAGAGTTGTCGAATGCGGCGAAAGCAGAGTGTAGTAGACACTACAGGAGTGAAGCAAAGCTGATTTGTTGTAATGCTGCCTGACTGCTTGCCTGTGCGGCCTGATGATTGCACTGGGCAATGAACCAGCCTTGTACCACTGGTGTACTGTGTGCAAAACGTATAGTGAGGTGAACTCATAAAACAGTGAGCCGAAAAAAATATGATTAAAAAGCCAATTCACAAACCAAGTAAAGACAGGAAGAGAAGGAAAGATATGTGCGCATATACCCTGCACCCGTGCACGCACACACACACACACACACACACACACACACACAGAAGGGAGTTGATAGGTGGAGAATTGCGAAAACAGGGGACCCAGTGTGCCCTCAAGGAGATAAAGAGATAGAGATAGATAGAGATATTTTTGGCACAGTATATTCGGCCCTGGTTTAAATATGGCTTTGGAATTTATTTTTCATTGCAATCAGGTTCGGCCTCATTTCTCTGTGCTGTGCTAATGAGTCCACAAAGGACGAAACAGTTCTGTCCCCAGATTGGATAGATAGATAGATATAGATGAAGATAGAGAGAGAGAGGGGGGGGGGGGGGGGGGGGGAGAGAGAGAGAGAAAGAGAGAGAGAGGGAAAGAGAGAGAGGGAAAGAGAGCGAGACATAGGCAGCTGTCTTGGTCATTATCATCCGATGTATTCCATGTGGCGTAGACCAGGTGTGCATTGAGAATCCTTTCACAAGGCATCGCAATAATCATAATTATGGAATTGGGCAGTAATGCGGTGCTAGTCTTGATACGTTTCACTCAGGTCATGTCTGATATCGTTGGCAGAAGAGAAAATCAGTGGGTGTACATCCACTGCACTTGCAAACTTGCGTGTCTCTCTTGCGACGGATGCACAGGTACTTGGTGTCTGTGTCAATTGGCTCATTCTGTGGGCGAGTGGTCACTGCCTGAGTTCAATGTCGGAAAAGGTAAGTAGCTCTAGAGTGCAGTATAGAGAAAAGTATGCCAAATACGCGGTCATTAGGAGAGACTATACCAGCAACTTCGACTCATATACTTCAATATCTAATTGGATCTGTATAGAAGACGCTGCTCAGTGGTATTGGAGTTGTGGTTGATCAACAGCGTATCTTTTAGGTACATGTGGCATCCATTGGTCTTGTGTGAGTGACACTAGGCATGTAACCGGACAACGTTGGTGAAAGGTTTCATTACCAAAGAACTTGATTGGTTTGCCATTTAGCTTCCTGTGTGGCGTCACATCGTTTCCGTGGACTGGTTTAGATTCTTGCCCACGTTTCCAGGAGTCCAGCCAATTAATAGCAGCCGAAGCTATTTGAATAGCCAGATTATGATTGTCTTCTTATCTGCTCTGCACTCCATCCGCTTGCATCAGTAAGCAATGCAAACGCGTTGTCCCTTGCACAGGCACGTGCCTTCTGCAGGCAATTCCGGGAGAGCGTAAAGTGGCAGGACGAATTACCGTGAAGTTGCCACATGATCTGAGTACAATCGTAGCACATCAAGTCTTGACACTACTAGTACTTGTGACATGATCAATTCTGCTATGCTCTAATGCAGACTAGCAATAAGAGGCATTTGTCAGATACTAGTAACCATGAGGTACTGAGATGATTCTCTTCGGCAAGCCACCCACTCTGCAAAAAAATGCGCCAAAATTAATAATCTGTCATCTGCCTGCTCCAACTTGACTGTCCTCCTGACAAGTGAAAACCGCTGGCGTTGTCCGGCCATAAACACCATTATTGGCATCAATCCAACGCATTAATCCAACGCCTTCGTTGCTCCTCATCTCTGCAGCTCGTACCAATAGGTCTGGCACGTCGAAAAACTAAAATACTCGGAGCTACAAGCTACATTTTCAGAGACAGGGAGTTGCAAATGGCAAGAAACCCAGCTTCCCTTCACCTTTGGCATCACGAGCAATGACCATTTATCAGCCAGCAATGTTTTACTAGAGCAAAGGCGCTGGCGGGAACAGAAACAGCAACGTTTCTTTCTCAGCAAAAACAAATAAAAAGGAAAGGAACAAAAAAGGATCAACACCAGAGATTCGTCCATACCCGGTACCCACCCCTGGAAAGGCTCTCCCACAGATTGCAGTACAAAAGCCACGGCCAAGTGTCCCACTGAGGAGCGGTCGCTTGCCCGGACCGCTGGGACGCGGACACCTACGAAGAGCAGCCTGTGACGTTTATTTTTTATGACAGAAAATCCGCAAAAATAGTTGGGCTTGTCCCTTTAGCCTTTCGCTCCGGTTACAACATAATTCGTTATTACTTAAACCCGGTATAACGCCACTTGGTGCATGTCCCTGGAGTTCCAAACCCTCAGTGTAAGATGATATGAGCCAGCGCACGCGAAAATCGACCTTAGTGACACGCACTTCAAACTGAGAAAACGCACTTCAAACATTCTCTGTTTTCGTGTGATGTGTGATATATTAGGGAAATGCTCTATCTTCTAAGACCCGTAACTCAAGTTTTACTCAAGATTTTTTTCAAACGTTTTTTTGCATTGAATTCTGCATAAGTCCATCTGCCTTTATCCACTGTCATCTCAGTTTCTGAAAATATGTCACTGAGGGTGATTTTCGCGTGTGCTGGCTCATATTGATCATACAGGACCAAGGCCAAAACACATAGGGTTTACAGTACAGTAAGACCTGTCAAGGCGATCACCTGTCCTACAAGACCACTGCTACCAGAATCAAGGGATGCTCTTTCCAGCCAAACGACCCTGGATAAGGAGACCACCTGGTAACAGAGACCACGTTTCGAAGGTCCCTTGAGCGGTCGCCTTAGACAGGTTTCACTCTACACTGATGCTTGGTGAAGTTGCAGTACCTGATTGATGTAACCCAGCACGTTGGTACGCAGCCAGCAAGGGTCTAGGGTGCGTATGTCCACGCCGTCCAGCGTCACCGCGCCGTGAACGGGGTCGTAGAAACGCTCGATAAGCGCCGCTATCGTCGTCTTGCCTGTGATGCGCCGTGACGGTCAGAACATGCGCAGTAGCACACACATGCACATGAACACACAGACAGGCACAGACACACACAGACACATAGCATATCGTACGGACATGATGAAAACTGACAGAGTCCATGTCGGGTAAAACATAGCAGTCCTGAAGTAAATCAGGGAACTTCCGTACCAAGGCTATGCTTTCAAGACATTTGGACAAATCAAGGGAAATTCCATACACCTTCAAGGTTTGGAAAATAGTACTAAACACCTTGTGCCAACTGTAATGTTCTGGGACATTATTATTATTACAGTACTGGTCAAACCAAAGCACTAACAAAGACAAAACTAAAGACCAAGAACCAGGAACATAAAGCACAGAGAAAGGGAACAAAACAGATACACATATAAATATCGTACAAGATACTATAATAGTACAATACTATAATATAGTATTAACCAGGAGGCCTGCAACATCACATTCCTCCTTTTCTCGAAAGTCTACAACTACAGTCCATAGAAATACTGACCATAGCAAACTTCAACGTAGCATTTCAACAAACTAAATAAACCAAAATAGGCTGTCCAAAACGCGACGAATAACCAAAAGCGTTCTATCAATCCATGTCATAAAATATGTAAATATACAGTATAATGTAAGCTCATACATTGTTAGCCGAACGACCAGTCAAACACAACTGTCACACAGCCTAGTCAATGCAGAACAGAACAAGGGCCGGACAGGTTACTTAGCATTTCACGCTTAACCTGTCTGACCTGCGGGGCTCCGCACGATGCTGGGGTGCCTCTTGCACTTCGGGGCTAGGTTCAGCTGGATGCTGCTGCCGGAATGGTTTGGTGAACTGTACGTTCCTCCGCACAAGCTTCCCATCCGGTGCCTGAACCACTACTTGGTCCCCATTCCGACTAACCACCACATGAGGTTGGTGATGGAATGGTGTGTCGACCTTCGACCGTGTCTCCGAACGCTTTAGCAGTACTGAGTCACCTATCTGCGTTGACTGGCTTGTGGCATGGTTGGCGTCATCTGCAGAGTCACGCATACTCTGCTTACGCTCGCTGTCACGATCTCTGACGGCCTCGTTTATCGCTGGTTCACCGAGGGCTGGTAACTTGCAGTGCACTTTGCGCCCAAACAATAACTCAGCTGGAGCAACTCCGGTGGTGCTATGTGGCGTGGAGCGGTATGCCATCAAGAATCGTTGAACCTCCCGCTTCCACGTCTTTCCTTCCGCATATGCAGCACGGATCACTTTCATCAGGGATCGATTTTGTCGCTCAACTTCACCGTTAGCTCTCGGCCACAGTGGTGTAGTACGAAGCTGTTGAACACCACACTCATGTAGAAACTTCGCAAACCCTTCCGAGTTGAAAGGTGGGCCATTATCCGTACGCAAACTCGTCGGGATACCGTGTCGGCTGAACTGGGCTTCAATCATCGGAATCACAGCTTCAGCTGATGTTGACTTGACCACATCTACTTCGAAATATCGACTGTAGTAATCCACGAGCACCACAATGTGCTCGCCAGACGGTAGTGGACCCAGCAAGTCAACAGCCAAATGCTGCCATGGCGCATCTGGAAGAGGAGTGGACTTGACTGGCGGTGCATTGGCTGGCGCTGCAACCACTTGGCAGGCATGACACGACTTGCAGAGCTTCTCGGCCTCGCTATCCATGCCTGGCCACCAAACCTTGGACCGTAGACGCTCTTTCGTCTTCACGATGCCCTGGTGGCCCTCATGTGCCAACTGCACGGTCTGGTGTCGCAACTCTGTAGGGATAACAATGCGTTGACCTCTGAGCACCACCTTGCCAACAACAGTCAATTCTCCTCGGACCTGACGGTATGCTGCTGGCAGACCATCCCAAGATCCGTCATGAAGGCACTTGCGAACAGCAGATAGCTCTTCATCTTCAGCTGAGCTACGTTCAATCGTTCTGATACCGATAGCGATGGGTGCTGCTGTCTGAGTGATAAGTCTAACCGACTCTTCATCACTGCTGATTCCTGGATCCGCCGCTGCAACGGGCAGGCGAGATAAAGCGTCAGCGATGTTCGTCTTTCCAGGAATGTGCTTGACTCGATAGCTGTACGGCTGTAGGCGCAGGACCCATCTCTCGATCCTGGCACTGGGCTTGGATCTTGCCGAATAAATCACTTCCAGCGGCTTGTGGTCGGTGCAGAGTGTAAACTCCCTGCCTAGCAGATAGGTGTGAAATCGTTCACACGCCCAGACAATACCAAGAGCCTCTCGCTCGGTCTGCGAGTACCTCCGCTCTACCGCTGACAGTGATCTGCTCGCATACGCAACTGGCCGCCAAACACCATCCTGCTTCTGGACAAGCACAGCTCCGAGCCCAACTGGACTGGCATCCGTCACTAACTCGATCGGCGCTTCAGCATCATAGTATGCCAGTGTTGAGCTGGACACCAGTAGTCGCTTCAGGTGGTCGAACGCTTGCTGTTGCTCTGTAGTCCACTTGAACTGAGCTCCCTTGACCGTGAGGCGACGCAGTGGCTCAGCAACTGTAGCAAAATCAGGGATGAATTTTGCACTGAAACCGGCTGTACCGAGGAAGCTTCTTACTTCCGACGCATTGCTCGGCCTGGATGCTTCCGCCAAGGATCGTATCCTTTCCGGAGTTGGCTGTATGCCCTTGTCAGATATCTGCAAGCCGAAGAACTCAATGGAGCTCTTAGCGAACTCACACTTTGCTGGGTTGACTGTGAGGTTGACCTGCTGCAAGCGATTCATCAATGCATGAACCCTCACATCATGCTGGTTCAGTGAGTCCGCATGTAGCAAGATATCATCAGCTCCGTTTCTGCAACCGGCCAAATCCTTGATCACATCGCTGATGATCTTCTGGTACAGCTCTGGTGCTGAACTTATACCAAATGGCAGTCGACGAAACCGGTACAACTTCCCATTTGCAGCAAAAGTTGTCAGGTAGCGGGACTCTTCTTCCAACTCTACTTGGTGAAATCCCCACTTCAGGTCAATCTTCGAAAACACCGTGCTGCCATTGACTTCATGCAGCAACTCCTCTGTTGTTGGCATCGGATGTCGTTCTCGGACGATGGCTTCATTGACCCGGCGTAAATCCACGCACAAACGGATGTCGCCATGCTTCTTTGGTGCTATCACAATTGGGCTTACCCACGGCGTCGGGCCCACAGCTTCTTCAATAATTCCTGATTGCTGTAACTCCTGAAGTTTTTCATCCACCTTGGTTTCATACGCATATGGTATCCTACGCTGGCGTTGGGCCACAGGTGGAACTTCAGAGTCTACATGAAGACGTGCTTGGTAGCCAATTAACTTGCCCACACCACTGAACACACCAGGATACTCATTCTTGATTTCATCGTTGATACTGGGGCTAGCTGTGGCGCTGCCAACTTGATTCACGTCAGGTAGCACCAAGGCCTTCAACTTGAGTGCAGTACTACGTCCCAGCAAGAACTCTCCATCTCCTCTGACGACGATCACTTCGTCCTCAGTGCGCTCTGAGCCGCATTGGAAAATTGCAGTAAACTTGCCGACGACATTCAGCTGGTGTGCTCCATACGCGAAAAGCTTCCTGGTGCACTTCGTCAAAGTGACACCGAGGCCTTGCAATTGCAGCTGGCCCAAAGTCGATTCTCCCAACAAGTTGCATGATGCTCCAGAATCGACTAGCACTCGCGTCGACACACCATTGAGGCTGACATTGATAGAGGCCTGTGTCAAATTACGTCCTCGCACTCCAAACACAAAATCGTCTACATCTTGAATTTGATTTGCCGAGTGATTTTCTTTTCCGTACAAACTTGCCTTTCCCGACGACTTGGGAGCGTGACGCGTGTTGCCTGTACGCTGTTTGTCACCTCCGTTGCATTTGGATGCGAAGTGACCGTTTATGCCACACTTTCTACACCTTTGGCCACGTGCAGGACAGTTCCGGTCGCGGGCGAAGTGGCCAACTTTTCCGCAGTTGTGACACTCTTGCTGGGGTACGCCGTGCACAGCATTCACACTTCCTGGTGCAGCTTCACCCGTAGACCTACCGTACAAACTGGACCCATGCCCATCATGGCTTGCACTGTGACTTGCACTTGTCGATGTTGACATATCACGTGCGTGCTGCTCCGTTGTTTCATACTCGCGACCTTTTTTCAAGGCCACCGCCAAAGTGAGGTCGTCGACTTCTAACAATAGAGAGGTTAAGTTACACGTTTTTTGCCCTTTTTCAAAACGCGGTGCAAATCTCACGTTACGTGTAATTTTTAGAGGTTAAGTTACACGTGCGACGTGACGTGAAATTTTGCCTGGCAGGATTCGGGTTTAGTTCGCACAAATATCAAATCTTCCAACAAACTCGATAAAATCTGGAAACTCACATAAATTCGGTCGGAGTAACCAAGCGAAACTTCCAAAAACTCACGTCATGAACTTACGTGCGGGACAGTCAACTCACGTAAAACACGTCAAATTTTACGTGAGTTTTTTCACTTTTTGACGTAAAAGTTCACGGACGTAAGACTTTTACGTGAAACTTAACCTCTCTAATTTCTTTCTCAGGCGATTGTCCGATATCCCTATGAGCAGTTGGTCGCATACATGATCCTCCATGTCGGTGCCATAGTCACAGTATTTGCCTTGCCCAAGCAAACGGGTCGAAAACTGAGATACTGTTTCACCAGTCCGTTGTGACATCTGACGAAGCTTATAACGTTCGAACCTCTTGTTGGCCACGAACTCGAAAGCCTTGTCCAAAGCACTCACAGCTCGCTCGAATAAATTGTCGGTATCCTCATCTTCTGTTAGCGTTTCGAATTTCTCCTGTACTGGCATACCAGCCAAGTACAGCAACAGACTCCTCTGCCTCTTCGCGGATGTTATGTTCTGCCCATCCACATAGTACTGGAATGATCTCTTCCACCTGCGCCATCTTGCAGAAACTTCATGGGCAGGACCCTCGAGATCGAACGGCTCCAAAGCCGGGCCTACTCCTGTGAGCGCCATTGTCACTGAGGCCTACTCAGGTCATCTATATGACTATAACTATTAAATCTAGTTCATCTTCGTCGCCAATGTAATGTTCTGGGACATTATTATTATTACAGTACTGGTCAAACCAAAGCACTAACAAAGACAAAACTAAAGACCAAGAACCAGGAACATAAAGCACAGAGAAAGGGAACAAAACAGATACACATATAAATATCGTACAAGATACTATAATAGTACAATACTATAATATAGTATTAACCAGGAGGCCTGCAACATCACACCAACCCTCACCCTTGCACACGCACGCACACACACACACGCGCGCGTGCACAAACACTAACCTCCTCCCGACGGACCACACAGCGCCACTGTCTTGCCGGCCGGTATATGCAAACTGAGATCATCCAGCACAACCTGCAAGATGACGTTGCACACGAGTTATGACACACATAGACACATGCACACGAACACACACACACACACACACGCACACACACACACACACACACACACACACACACACACACACCATGTACCAAGTATACCATGTATACGCCCGTCGCAAGAGAAGCACGCAAATCTGCAAATGCACTGGATGTACACCCACAGACTTTCTCTCATAGCAACGGTAGCGAACAAGATCTGAATGAGACAGATCAAGACTTGCGCCAGATAACTGTCCAATCCACACAACTGGCGAAGCCATGTGAATCGACCACCAATGCACACCTGGTCCACACCACACAGAGTACACCGGCATAAAACGGCAAAGACAGTTACCTATGCACACCCTACACTTGCTGGGGTAACCAGTATAGACAGCACGCTGCTTTGATAGAAGCAGACACTAGATGCACTGGTACCTTGACGTGAAATTGGAGTTACTTTACCAACCAGCCTCGGCTACTGAGTACTGGGAACCCAGAGCCAACAGACATACCAACAACCTCAGCCATGAAAGCTATTACAGTGGAGATTGGATATGTTAGGTGCCTCCTCCCGTACAATCTTACCTACAACCTTTCCTAAGCTGGCCGGCCTGCATGCACCCGTACTACGTCATACTCACCTTTCGTTCCATTGGCCTGGGTAGCTACTTGCGCGCCCATGTTTGCCATAGCTACCCAGGCCCTTTATATTGCGTTGTTTCTCAGTCGATCTCTCTCTCTTCAATAATCTCACTCTTCAACGTAGTCGTTCGTTCGTCTTGGTCTCTTGTCTCGTCGTCTATAATGAATGTCGTTCCCAATAACTTGTTCCCGTTGTCCGTTGTAATGTCTGGAGAAGATGTCGTCAGTCGTCCTTCTTCGGACTCAACATTGGCGCCCAACGTGGGGCTCGAACCCACGACCCTGAGATTAAGAGTCTCATGCTCTACCGACTGAGCAAAATGACAGAAATGTATTGTAGATAATACATGTAGATGACGTGGATACACTCCATTATTCACCCCAGTGTCTGGAGATCTGTGGATTTTGTAGAAAAACAAAAACAAAAACACTTTAAACAGATGTGTATCTACAATGTACATATGTCTTGCATGCATTGTTCAAGGTAAAGTCATCCCGCACCGCTGCACTGCGCCTACAACGTCGTACAATGTCAAGCAGTGAGAGTGTGAGTGGACAAACCTCACCTAAATTCCGAATCAGCCCAGGTGTGCCGCAAGGGAGCATACTGGGCCCCACCCTGTTCCTCCTATATGTCAATGACATGGAGGACCACCTCCCAGCCACAACCCAGCTCGCCATATATGCAGATGACACTACGCTTTATCAGTGCATCCCGTCCCTGACCGCTCTCCCAGTTGGCCTAGCGCAGCTCCAGACTGCTGTGGATGCCCTAGCTGAATGGGGCCAGAGCTGGAAGATCGCATTCGAGCCGACAAAGTCGCAAGTCTTGATGATTTCGCATCACCGTCAACCCTGGCCGATTCCTCCAGCCACTTTCAATGGGGTGGCCATAGAGGAAGTGGAGGAGCTGAAGTTTCTCGGAGTGCTCTTCGATCGGAGCCTCTCCTTTCGCTCCCACATTCGACAGGTTGCAGTCCGTGGTCACCAACGTATTGGCTTCATGAGGAAGGCCCTACCAATTCTCGACAACAAGGCCAAGTATGCCGTGTATCGCGGCTTCAAACGACCCACGTGCCCTTGGCTAGGTTACGACCAATCAGCAGCCTCGGAGAGCGGGCTTTGATATTCCATCAAAGCCCGCTGTCAGGGGCAACCGGTACGAGAAAACCATCGAAGCCCGCTGCCATTGGCTACTGTACGACAAAACCATCAACGCATAATGAAACACTGCTCATGCGCACTCTCATAATATTGTCTTTTGACTAGGAAGTGGTTAAAAGATCGGTTGATGTAGACCTTACTGTATGGAAGTTATCTCCTAATATGGCAGAGTCTGGTGGCGAGCCGGCCCCAAAGCGTCGGTTCGAGTCAGTCAGTGCAGAGGAAGTCGCCGAAGTAATCACCTCGCGAGTTCCGAAGAGTACGGCATCATCAACAAAAGGCTGGGTCAAACTATTTTCGGAATTTGCTACCCAAAATGGTATCTGCATCGACCTCGACACGTGCGGAAAAGAAGAGCTGTCAGATGTCCTCTGCAAGGCCTACCTGGGTATCCGAACGCAGAAAAAGCAATACTATCAACGAAGTAGTTACCAGAGCTTCAGGGCTGCGATCAATCGCCACTTGGCCGAAAAAGACAGATGGATCAACATTTTCACCGACCCTGAATTTCGGAGAGCAAACCAGGCGTATGATGGCATGCTGAAGAAACTCAAGAGAGAAGGAGAGCATATGGCAACACAGTCAAAATCAGTCATCAGTACTCAAGATTTGGAGCTGATCAAAAAGCTCTTCCTGTACTCTACAGAGCCACACGTCCTGAACATGGAAGTGTGGTTCTACCTCACCTTTCCCCATGGTCTACGTGGCCGAGAAACACAGTGCCGACTTACAAAGAGCTCTTTGACCCTGTGCAAAGACAGCGAGGGCAAAGAGTTCTACAAGCTCAGCACAGACTTCAGCAGCAAGAACCACCAAGGTGGCTCTGGTGACAATACCACATCGAAACAAGCTGGCCGCATCCAGTGTCCCAGTCAAGTGCTAGCTGTGCCCATGCTACTCAAGCACCTAAACCCTGCATGCGACCGCGTATTGCAGCGTCCGAAGAGGAACCTCCAGCCAAGAGATCCTGTTTGGTACGAAAATGCACCCCTGGGAAAGAACACCCTCGACAATATGATGAGAAATCTCAGTGTGAAGGCCGGCGCGGCACCTCAAGAGAGTACACCAACCGTTGTCTCCGTGCCACATGCGTTACTGTACTACAGGAAAACGGGGTTTCCGATAACGATACTATGTCAGTCACGGGCCACCGAAATGCCCAATCCCAGTTGAGCTACAGCAGACCTGGCGAGAAGCAACAACAGAAGATGGCGGCCTGTCTAGACAGCATCACAGGCAGCAGCAGCACATCGGCATCCAGTTGGCAGCTCGAGCCAGATCAGGTGAACCAGTAACTCAAAGGGCGCGCACGTGGAGAAGTTTCTCCGAGAGGCGAAACGCGTTGTGCTTGCGGCAAGTGACGACGAAGTCGACGCCACTATCAAACAGAGGTTGAGTCGTACGGACCAAATGACTGTACTTGCACCGACTGACCCCGCGATCGCGACAAGCCCCAGCTCTAGCTCTGCATTGATTCCAGCTGCTCCCGGCTCCGTAGACCAGCTTCTGATGGGCTTGACTGACGACGATATTTTCGGCGACCTAGCCCCGCTGCCAGGTTCATCGTTGTTGTCGTCTCCACTACCAGCAGAGCCAACAGCTGCTCCATCGCCGTCGTCATCCTCAGTGCAGATGTCGAATTTGTTCAACGGAGCTAACCTGCAAGGCGCAACGATTCACATTTCTCTCAATACTTCTAATTTTCGATTTGAATATTCTGTTTTTACCAGGCGTGGGCCATCCCCTGAATTCATAGGTGCCAAACAATAATTTTTTACGTTTTTCATTCGTTTGAATAAAGTCGGAACTTGAGCTCACTTCCATATTTGCACCAAGTGATAATGTTTTTCAAAGTTGCCCGTGTAACCACAAAAATCGACTCAACGCTGTGTGGGATCGTCTGAAGAATATTCAAGCGAGGTACAGAGGTCTTGATGGCTGATCAAAGCCCTCGCTTGATTATATACCTCGCTTGATTATATACTTCGTCCACCCAGTACTTGAGTACTGCCCGCTTTCATGGTTGGGTGCGTCCCAGTCTACCCTGAACCAGCTGGACCAGGTACAGCACCGAGCCCTAAAGCTCATCGGCCCAGGGTAATATCTCCCAAGCCTCACTGTTCGGCGTCAAGTCGCAGCACTCAAATGCCTGTACAAGCTGCATTGGATTGACGGTCCCCCAATCCTGACCACCATGACACCACCGAGGGCAGTTGCTAACCAGCACCGGCGCTCCACTTGCCATCAGCAAGAGAAGCAGCACCAGCACCAACTAGCACCGACACTGCCCGCCGGAGCCCGTAATAGTGCTCTCCGATCATTCCCCCATGCCACGATCCAAGACTGGAATCGTCTCCCATCTGCCCTGCTATGCAACCTTCCCACGCAGAAGGGAATGCAGGCATTCAAGGAAGGCGCCTACAAGTCTCTCCGTAGTCGAGACTGGCACTCAGCCAGATGCCCTCTGAACCCTCCCTGAACACCCTCTCCGCTTCCACCCTGGCTCCCCCTTTTTATTTTTTTTATTTTTAAACTCGGATACTGAGCCAGTAATAAAATGTAAAAAAGAGAAGAAACACATGAGAACGAGTTATGCAGCAACTATCCACGACTGTAGAAAGATGATAAACGGTCAGAAAGTGCGATAATAGGGCACAAAACTGACAGCGGCTACTGCACTTTCTGACCGTTTATCATCTTGCTACAGTCGTGGATAGTTGCTGCATAACTCGTTCTCATGTGTTTCTTCTCTTTTTCACATTTTTAATTTTTAATTTTATTTCTTTCTGAAACTCGGATGTTGAGCCATAAATAAATGTAGAAAGGAAAAAGACATGGACATTCTTTGTTCCGTTGGGACTGTAGCTTTTGCTCGTTTTCGTTGCGCTTGCCTTTCCCTCTTTGATCTTTCCGTAACCTTGAACCTTCCAAGTTGGAAGGCTGTCGGTTAGCGCTACGGAGATGTGTTGAAGCTAGGTGCCAGGACGTCGAATGTCTCAGTACTCTGTCAGTTTTGTGCCTAGTTATTGCACTTTCTGACTGTATGAAGTATCATGTTACAGTGATGGAGAGTTACTCTTAACTCGTATCCATAATGTCTTTTTCCTTTCTACATTTCGTTCTTTCTTTTTTCTTTTCCTTTTTACTCTATCACATGTATCATCTTTCCGTTTTCCTTCCTCTATATAAATGTACTACTCCCCCTCCCCAGTTCTGGTGCACCGAAGTGTCGCTGAAGCGGAGACCTCAGGTCGGCGGAGATGCTCCAGTTTCACCACCACAGTTGCGTCTGCAACCACCTCTATCATGCAGTATTCTGTTCTCGAGGTTCGTGGTTTCAAGTGGCACAGTCATTATACCATGTTCTAGACATGCCAGTCTGCCTGATACAAGAGGAAAGTCGTTATATCCGATGTATTTTCACTGTTTTTCAGGTCTTCGGGCACCAAAAAAGTGTCAGTAAAGTCGATCCGTCGTTATACCCGACATATAATGTACAGAAAGAACTTGCTAAACGACTTGGGCAACAGAATTGTGTCGCTAAACTCGATTTGTCGTTATACCCAATCTCCACAGTATAGTAACGACACACTGGATTGTGGAGCGGAAACTAGTCCAAATTCCAAATGCTTTGGCAAGAAGGTAGCCTTCCGACAGGTTGGACACACACACACACACACACACACACACACACACACACACACACACACTCATACATACCACACTACATACTCTGCCACGTACACACATGCACACACGTACACACACGTGCACGCACAGACACACACAGACGCACATACACACGAACACACACACATATACAGACACACACAGAAACACAGAAACTCGCCACCTAAAGTTCTGCTTAAACACGAACATGGCATTGGAATGTGGCATTGCGTGGTGGACAGACAGACAGACAGACAGACAGACAGACAAACAGACAAACCCACACACTACTAGATGCCATCAGTCCCAACACAACGCGCACCTATACCACACGCCAGCGTTACCTGTTCAGGTCGGGTTGGATAGATGAACTTGACATTCTCCAGTCTCAGATCACCATGCAGGCTGTCCGCACTGATAGTAGCACCACCTCGCACTGGGATACTGGGGTGAAGTTTCATGTACTGTACACATACACACACACACACACACACACACACACACACACACACACACACACACACACACACACACACACACACACACACACACACACGCGTGCACACATGTGCACGCACACACATACACACACACACACGCACATGCACACACACACACAAGTACAGAATTAGTCCATGTGCACATACAGTGGAACTTTGGTAAGACGAACTCTCATGCGAAAGAGGAAAGTGTCCTTAGTATCCGACGTGCAGTAAAACCTGTCAAGGTGACCACTCGGAAAAGGCGACCACCTGTTTTAGAAGACCACTGCAACCAGGACCAAGGGGTGCTATTTCCAGTCAATTGACCCTGGATGAGGCGACCACCTGGTGACAGAGACCATATTTTGAAGGTCCCTTGAGCGGTCGTCTTAGACAGGTTTCAATGTACTTCTTGTCCTCCTTTCAGGGTCACCACTGGTTCCACATTTCCCGTCACAGCATGCGCTGAGGCTGCCTCAGCCCGAGAGCGCAGCTGTAATTTTTTAAATTTCACTCACGAGGCGTAATTTCCGGTCTCACCTGCAAGCTACAGATCTCCTTTCTCACAAGAACGCAACTAGATGCACAGTAGGAGCAACAGAACCGCTTTCCTACCATTTGAGAGCTGCCCTATTGCGTCTGTGTGAGATACTGTACAGGCAGAAAATTTCGTCGGTCAATAATTTCGTCCAACTCCAACGAAAGGGAGTTCGTCCGGTTGAAAATTTCGTCCATGGATCATAAGAGTGTATTGAAAAAGCTGGACAAATCGACATTCGTCCGGCATTTAATTTAGTCCAAAAGCTCCTTGGACGAAAAAGATGAAATTAAATTCCAGACGGATATTTCTGCTTATACGGTACTGCACCCACCTCGACAATTTTTCTTTGGTCCTGAAGTGTTACTCAACGCAGAAGAAGAATTCAAAGTTCTCCAGATTTCTGAAGTTTTTAAGCGAATCCTTCGGGCTCTATTTCGCATGCGCACTGCAGCGATGAGTCACAGGGGAAGTCCCTGTTTGAGAAAATAATGCTTGCTGCGTTGATCACATCGCACGCAATTTGTCAAAAAGTTCAAGCGTATTAATTTTGTGCTTCGCTCGTCGGCACTCCTGTATACCTTCACACTCTCCGCAGTAGATCCTCTCCCTCCTAAACTTTTTTATTATTATTTTTTTACAAGTACTACTAAAGACTTTAGTTTTTTTACGCGCATATACGTGGATCCATTATCAGATTACAACGAAATTTGAAAGAAAAAGAAAATGGCCCAACCCTAAACTGGCCTTCTTGTCCAGGGAGGACTACTGTGCTAGCTATCATACTGTAATAATTTCACAAATTTTCGGTGTACTTTTATTTTCGGTACTTTCGGTGCATCTGTTTCATACCTAAAATTTCAAAACACCGAACAAACACTAACACGCATAATCCAATAGGGAACTGCTTCTCTGTACCTAAAATTTCTGTTCACCTAACCTGGCCTTTTGCCCTCATACCGAAAATGTTGAGCACTGAAAATTTCTGAAATTAGAGTAATCTGTTGCTAGAGAAATGTGTAGCTGAAACAAATAATAGGAGATAATAGAGAGGTTCCGCATAACGTAATTACGTTACTAAAAAACGAAGTCGATCTACGGAAAGCCTTACGTAAACTGCATGCGGATCTGTGTTCAGCCATACGGAGTTTTCAAATTACGCAGCTGCCTTGGGCAACTCCGAAAGCGGCAGTGTACGACCGGATCGACCTGGGGAGAGAGTCATAAATTTGTACCCCAATCCACTTACGGACCAGCTACGTTATCAGAGTCCTATCTATATGCTCTATGTAGACAACTTTCCGTAAGTGGAGTGAAAACTCGCGGATTCACGGGTTTTCCCGCCCACTAACGTAAAGTTGCTCAACTTTACGTAGTGCGGAGCCTCTCTAGTATGATGCGTAGAGCTGGAGATGTGTCCTCCCAGCATTTTGAAAAATGGGCAGGGGGGAAATAATCGGTCCTGTAGCCGACCTGGGGCCGTACCACCCCCTCAGGAGCTGGCTCCGGGCATACCAGTACCGTAAAGTACCACCAGAGTGCCCCGTCTCGCGAGAGCGCCTCGCCTTGATTTTACAGCCAAGGGAGGAAAATCGTATGGCAGAATGCTACTAAGTTTGTACGATGTGAGAACCTTCGTGTACTAAGGTCACACTTGGTATGCTTTTATGTGGAGCTCGAAGGAAAACTGGGTACGGATTGACTGCACAATGTGCAATGTTTGTACAAGGTCCGTGTCGTATGACCTACAAACAGGAATGAAGGAAGAACTGATGGAAATGTTTTTTTCCATTGATTGGCTACATTGTCGTCTACCACCTTAATGACCCAGGCAAAAAAGCATACATGTGGGGATGTTATAAATTTTTCATTTATCTTATTTTTTTAAGACATACTGTAACCTAGTACCTGGGATTCGAACCCGCACTATCGCCCTGCATGCATTACCCCCATACATACATACTCATTCTTCTAAGTTGCTTCGCGTTATGATCTTGCATTCGAAAGCCCTATTTGAATATTGTGGCCAGCTGTCTTTGATGGCACGGTACGGGACAGGTACGGGATAGCGCCAGGCATGTCGATGGCACAAACAAACAAAAATATTGTGGCCAGCTGTCTTTGCTGGTACGGTACGGTACGGGACAGATACGGGATAGCGCCAGGCGTGGCACAAACAAACAAACAAACACCAAATTATTAAAGCTGTGTGGACCCTGGCTAGCGCCAGACGTTACTGAAGTAACGTCTTTTGCATAGCTACGGGGATAAATTTTCGGTTCTTTCCTGTTCGGGCGAGCATATTTGATTATTTTCCTGTGGATAGTTATGATTTCTGCTGCTCTCGTTGATCTCGTCATGTTGACTGGATCTTCTCACACTTCTCTTTCTTTTTTTCTAGTAGTAAGTACCGAGTAGTAGGAGTAGTGGTAGGGCTGACCCACCTCTGGCCACCATGCACCCAGCTACAAAGGCCGCCACCAAGGGGCTCTCAGAGGCAGAGACGAAACTGTTGTGCTCCCCTCCGGGTATCGAGTCGTCTGTGCTTCAAGTTATCATCTTTCAGTGCCATGGAGCCTACTGACAGTACAAGTAGTTCGCCAACTTCGCCTTCAGCTGTTGGATCACTCGGTCCATCACTCAGTCCGTCCTCGGCTTCGAATCGCACCCAAATTCGATTTGACCTACACATGGATTTGGTCCTGCTCGGGCAACTCCTATTTGTGCCCAACCCCTTTGTTCGCGGCTCTGTGGGATTCGAGGAGACTGCAAAAGTTCTAGCCTCGTCCGAGCCAAAGTTTGTTGGCATCACCAGGAAGTCCGTCAGAGACCACACGCTGCTGCTGTTGGAGCAGCAGGTCAAAGCTGACAACAAGAAGCGTAAAGGATCTGGGACGGATGAGGAGTATTCCGAGAGGGATCCGCTTCTCACGGAGCTACGGAACTTGCAGCAAGAGAAGCAAGAGAAGTCCACCATAAAGCATGCTGTCCTCGGTACGCCCAAGTCCATTGCAGAGGCGCTTAACACTGACAACAACACGCGTAAAGGATCTGGGACGGACGAAGAGTATTCCGAGAGGGATCAGCTACTAACGGAGCTACGAAACTTGCAGCAAGAGAAGTCCACCATGAAACCAGCTGTCCCCGCTACACCCAAGTCCATTGCAGAGGCGCTCAAAACTGACAACAACAAGCGTAAAGGATCTGGGATGGACGAGAAGTATTCCGAGAGGGATCGGCTTCTCACGGAGCTACGGAGCTTGCAGCAAGAGAAGTTCCAGTTGGTGTTGGAAAATGGTTCGTATTCCCCCAAGAAAAAAGCAAGAAAAAAAAGCAAGAGAAGTCCACAATGAAGCATGCTGTTCCCGGTACGCCCACGTTCATTGCAGAGGCGCCTGAGGGAGGATGCGTGCAGGGCCAACTTGCAGCAAGAGAAGTCCACCATGAAACCAGCTGTCCCCGCTACACCCAAGTCCATTGCAGAGGCGCTCAAAACTGACAACAACAAGCGTAAAGGATCTGGGACGGACGAGGAGTATTCCGAAAAGGATCGGCTTCTCACGGAGCTACGGAGCTTGCAGCAAGAGAAGTTCCAGTTGGTGTTGGAAAATGGTTCGTATTCCCCCAAGAAAAAAAGAAGAAAAAAAGCAAGAGAAGTCCACAATGAAGCATGCTGTTCCCGGTACGCCCACGTCTATTGCAGAGGCGCCTGAGGGAGGATGCGTGCAGGGACCTGGGAGAGAAAGAGGTCGCGAAGAGCCAGGCAGCTGCAGGTGCACTGCCACAGAAGAAACCGAAAATTGAGCACTGCCGAGGTGATTGTAGATTTCATGAAGGAAAAATACCCAGTCTGATCGGGATCTTGAGCAGGGGAAGATCACACTGGAGAGGAGAGAAGGGTAAGTTGTGAAGTTGTGGATAAAAATACAAGTGAATAAAGTGTCAGCACCGACGCAATCCACACAGTCAAGTGAAGTAAATTTTGTAACCGAACGTTTTTTGTTCCCTTCTCATCATGGGTAAGAACAGGGAACACTTCTTTCGAAATTGTATACGCCTCCAATTTTTCCTCGAATAAAGTGCACAACGGGATTGCTTTCTTCATGTTGGTAAAACGTATTGATATTACTGTCGCTCACTAACCTCAAACACCCGGTTACCCGCGCTCATACCACGCACGGCTTGTCCAAACAGCACCGACACCTGCGCCATTGACCTAGCATGCAACAGACAGACAGACAGACAGATAGACACATGCATGCATGCATGCACAAACACACACACAAACACACATACACACACACACACAAGCAGATCATCTGAACATCAGCTGTGTGCAGAGAAAGGAGAAATGCACAAAGACGAGGCACACAGAAGCATTTCTTCCTGGTGTAGTGTTTGACCAGCAACTGAACCAACGTGGTCCATTAATATAGGGACAGCAGAGCTGAGAGGGGGGGGGGGAGAGGAGAGAGAGAGAGAGAGAGAGAGAGAGAGAGAGAGAGAGAGAGAGAGAGAGAGAGAGAGAGAGAGAGAGAGAGAGAGAGAGAGAGAGAGAGAGAGAGAGAGAGAGAGAGAGAGAGAGAGAGAGAGGAGAGAGAGAGAGAGAGGCGAGAGACGGAGACCAAAAGAAAGGGGAAAGAGAGAGAGAGAGAGAGAGAGAGAGAGAGAGAGAGAGAGAGAGAGAGAGAGAGAGAGAGAGAGAGAGAGAGAGAGAGAGAGAGAGAGGAGAGACGGAGACCAAAAAGAAAGGGAAAGAGAGAGAGAGAGAGGAGAAA